GAGGAGAAGAAGAAAAGAAGAAAAGAAAATAACAAACAATGAAGAAAAACGAAAGTATGTAATGAGGGAAAGACGACTGAGGCAGCATTTACATTTACATTTACATTTACAGCATTTAGCAGACGCTCTTATCCAGAGCGACTTACAAAAAGTGCTTTGTCTATCTAGAGAAAGTATCTCTGCTAGTTACCAATAGGTTAGAGAGAAGGTCAGTCCTGAGCTCAGATACTGCTAGAAACAGAAAGTCATTATTGACACCCAGAGAAAAAGGAACAGAGTTAAACACAGAGCAGTGCAATACAATACAATACAATACATAAGTGCAGTACAATACAGTACATTAAGTACTTAACTCAGTGCTCGTTTAAGTGCTGTATAAAGAGACGGTCTTCAGTCTGCGTTTGAAGACCACGAGAGACTCTGCTGTTCGGACAGCCAGTGGGAGTTCGTTCCACCACCTGGGCTCCAGCACAGAGAAAAGTCTTGCTGCTTGTCTTCCACGCGTCTTGAAGGATGGCGGGTCGAGCCGAGCTGTACTCGAAGCTCAAAGGTCTCGAGGTACAGTTCGAGTTTTGACCATTGCCATCAAGTAGGGAGGGGCTGGTCTGTTCTTGGCTTTATAGGCGAGCATAAGGGTTTTAAATCTGATGCAGCTACATCAAGGGAAGGGAGCGCAGCAGTGGCGTGACGTGACTGAACTTAGGAAGATTGAAGACGAGTTGTGCAGCTGCATTCTGGATGAGCTGCAGAGGCTTGATGGCCGCATAGGAAGACCAGTCAAGACCGAGCTGCGGTAGTCAAACTTTGAGATGACAAGAGACTGAACGAGCACCTGGGTGGCCTCTCGAGTGAGGAAGGGTCGAATCCTCTGGATGTTGTACAGGAGGAAACTGCATGACCGAGTTAGGTTCGCGATATGAGCCGAGAAGGATAACTCACCATCCAGAACCACACCGAGACTTCTTGCCTCTTCAGACGGAACAATCAGAGAGTTCTCGAATGAGATGGCGAGATCATGATGAGGACCTGTAGTTGCAGGGATGACTAGCAGCTCAGTCTTGCTAGGATTGAGCTTCAGGTGGTGAGCTGCCATCCATGAAGAGATGTCAGTGAGGCAGCGTCAACAGTAAAGGTGAACCTGAATTACTGCGCTGTGAAAAAGTGTTTGAACCTTCCTGATTTCCTCTATTTTGCATGTTCGTCAGGCTGAAAGGCAAAATTTGTAACATGAGACAAGGAGAACATGTGGAACCACAAAACAGATTGACTTGAGAATGACTTGAGTTCAGTTTTGCACCTCACTGTGGAGGAACTGGACCACTCTTCTTTGCAGCCACATTGGAGGGCTTTCAAACACGCACTGCCCGTTTAAGATCCTGCCACAGTATCTCAATTGGGTTCAAGTTCTAATTAACCACTTGGCCCCTCTGAATGTCTCAAAATGAAAATTCTGTGGTGTCCCTGAAAATAATGTCCTTTAGGGAAAAATAGATGCTCAAATCCAGATTCAGTGAAGCTCATTGTTTATCTGCTTCCCCCACAATCAGCTGCTGTCTTTGGTGGTCTTAACTAACTAGAGCTGCAGCACTGCTCTGCCTCAGGGTGGCGCTGTAGCAGACTGGTTCACCCAGTTGGTCCTTCATAGCCTAGAAACTGTAACTCTGCCTGGATTCCTCTGAAAAACTTTACAATGAGCTGCAGCAGATCTGTAAATCTGAAAACTCTTCAAGGGTTCCTTAGTAAAGAAAATGGTTCCATACAGAACTAGGAACACTCAAAGAATGCTTTGCATGATTAAAGGGTTCTTTGTATCATGAAGGGGTTCTTGAGATTGATGGAGAATGTGCTTTAGATGTCCTTTGTGAAAATTGTTCTATATAGCACCCAAAAGGGTTCTCTTATTGTTACGATGTTAAGCTTGTAATAATAGAAGAACCTTATTAGGTGCTATATAAAACCCTTTTTAAAAAGGTTCTACATAGAACCATCTATAGCACATTCATGCATATTTTTCACCAGTCCGAAGAACCCTCTTACGATGCAAAGAGCCCTTTAATCGGGTTAAAAGGGTTCTTTGGGTGTCCATGGTTCTACATTTTCTTTACTAAAGAACGATTGAAGAACCTTCTTTTTAAGAGTGAGAAGGCTGTGTTTCCAAACTAGAAAAGCATTTTCAGAAGAAAAATTGTTAAGCCAAACATTTCGTTGCCATTGACCACTGCTATGGTGAGTGAGTTAGCAGCCAGCCAACACCGGAGTAGGCAGCCAACATGGGATCCTCCAAATACCAGGGGGTGTTTCTCACACTACCACCACCATGCTTCACTGCTGGTGTGATGTTCTTTTTGTGAAATGATGTGTTAGCTTTACGCCAGATGTTCTTTTCCAAACAGTCTCACTTTCAAACTCTCAGACCACAGAACATTTTTCCAAAAGGCTTGGGGGTGAGCAAGGAGTTTTTGGCAAAAATGAGAACGCTGACCTTATCTGAGGCGATCGAGACCTGCACTTCCATAGATGTTCATCTGCATTCTTTTGTGCCTTCCTGAATGAGTCGTCGCTGTGTTCTTGGAGGAATTTTGGTAGGCTGGCCACTTTTGGGAAGATTCTCCAAATGATCAAGTTTTCTCCTTTTGGAGATCACTGTGGTTCACTGGACACGCCAGTTAGAAGGTCAGCCTGATAGCATCCGCTGGTTTTATTACACTTTCACCACCAGTTCGAGCAAGAGTTGGACTGTGTGTGTGTTTGTGTGAGTGCAGGGCTGCCAACTCTCATGCATTGGCCGTGAGAACCAGTTCAGTCTGATCTCATGCTCTCACGCCACACTCCACATTTCAAGTCAAGTCAATTCAAGTCGAAGTTTATTTATATAGAGCTTTTTACAACAGGTGTTGTCACAAAGCAGCTCTACAGAAAAATCCAGGTCCGAGCCCCCGTGAGCGTCGCCAGTGGCGACAGTGGCAAGCAAAACTCCCTAAGAGCAGGAGGAAGAAACACTGAGAGGAACCAAGACTCAAAAGGGGAACCCATCCTCCTCTGATCGACACCGGATAGCAAACAGCATTAGAATAAAATATTATACTACAAAACGGGGAAAAACAGGCGGAGCAACGGTTAATTAGATAGTTTGAGTTTATGCAGCAGCAGCATTGTCTCATGCATTTTTACAAAACAACCCTGAACACTTAAGAAGTTTCCTACTTCTGCCAAGTTTTCACTGATTAAAGACACTCAGGATCGGCAATGGCAGGCTATATGAATGCAAGTGAAGGAGAACATGCTTGCTAGTCAGTCACTGCCAGTCCGCATGTTGTTTTAGATTAGTGGGGGCGGGACCGGTTTCCATAGCGATAGGGAACCAACCAAAAACTTAAAACAAGCCATGATCATACGCTTCTAATCCTTAAAGTCACATAACAGTCCTAACCACCTTCATCTCTAAAGCACTGGCAGTATCACTGCTAATGCAGGACTCCATTAACTCACACATCTCCTTAGTGTTGAAAGACAGTTAAACTTACTGGTTAAACCGACATTTTTTGTTGGTTGACATTAAAATGAAATTTCGAAAATGGTTTATAATTTCATTTAGTTATGCATAACATTTTATTATTGAAACTAAACTGAAGCATCATTCTGTCTGGGTCAGTGATAAAAGTGGGTGGGCGGAGACCTGTTAGGCCCAGTTGTACTACCCACTGGCTGCACCGCTGGTTACTATTAACTAATTTTTTTAACCGCTCTGTATTCTGTATTCTCTGTAATTGGACTGTATTCTGTCCTCATTAGAGCAGGTTGACCAGTTCAGTGGAGAGCTAACATCCAGCTAACTTACCAGCTCTTAGTCTTTGCTCCTCTGAAGGCATAAATGTCACTGTTCATCTGTATTCTTTAAAACAATCAAATGTCAAACCCCCCGCCACAGCCCCCATCCCCATTACTGTCCACCACATGGCCATTTCACAACTGGTCGACCCAAAGAGACAAACTAAAGTGATGAGAAGAAAGAATGTCGTCTGCTGAGGTCAGGATGGTGGGAGGGGGAGGGAAATCATGCTAAGATATTATTGCATAGTATAATTATTCCCACCCACTGCAACATAGTGACGCAACCAAACGCCAGACAACCAAAGGCTACTACACTTTGATCACAGATTACAGAGAAACAAGAAAACTTTTGAATAATACAACACGATGAATTGTGCTTGATGTGACCATGAACATGAACTAACAAGGTGAATAAGGTCCATTTTGATTTCAGATTAACTTAAGTTAAAGAGGAACTCCACCAATTTATGCATAATTAAATTTTTTAATGATGCGAACAGAGAGGTTCAGAGCGGTTCAGAGTGGTTTGGTGTGAAACGCTCTGTTCTAGAGAAACTTACCGAGTCAGAACTGTTCACAGTGGTGGTGATAGGAACCAGACGTCCACCTCTAAAAGCTCCCTCACAGAAAGTTCCTACATGAAATGGTTATGAATTCACTGCCTGATGACTGAGACGCTGTTTTATGATGATTTGTGATAATAATTTTGTCCCAAAGCGTATTTTAATATCTATTCATGGTGGAGGGATACACAAAGCATGTTCTAAGGCGAAGTAGTTCCTAAAGAAAATCAGATTTACTACTATCGACATTCATTTTATCATCATCATCACATAAAAGACTCGTGTAGGTTCACTGGTGGTTTTGGATAGTAAATAAAATGTCTATATTTGTGTTGTAGTCATGGCGACCCCTGGTTCCTATCACCGCCACTGTAAAAACAAGAGTTTCTTTGCAAATGAACCACCTCACACCAAAGCACCCTGAACTGCTTTGTTTACATCACACACGCTGCATTATGCTGACATTTTGAAAAGTTGGTGGAGTTCCCCTTTAATTTGCGACTTTACATCACCGAACTACATATCCCATAGCGCAGCGGGGCGCATGACGTACGGAGTTTACGCGGTTTACGCACGTCACGCCGGGGTCGGACTGCGCAGCTGTCGTGTAGTTAAAGGACGTTTCGCTGTTAAACAGTAACTGGACGCTTGATGCGCGGACACCTCCGCCGAATTCAGCCCGAGTCCGCGTGTTTCATCCTCATCAGGGACTCAAGAACCTCAGGTATGATTCTTCTCTCTTCTCTCTTAGAACCCTGGCAGAAGTACTCAGGAGTACCACAAGTAGTTTCTGAGTACAGCGGCGAGTCATACCTGCACCTACAGGGTGAACAGTGTAGTTCTCTGTTCTCTGCTGGGTTCCTCACACGTGTGCTGTTACATCCCTTAATGGATCCCTTATTCCATCATCCACACACTTAAACATGGTTCTTGAAGGGTTACTCAGTAAAGGCAATGGATCTATCTAGAACCATAAGTTTTATATAGAGCCATACACATGATTAAATGGTCCTTCTCGTGGTGAGATGGTTCTTCAGAGTGATGGAGCATGTTTTGTATAGAACCTTTTTGAAACTGGTTCTATATAACACCAAAAAGGGTTCCTCTGGTGTCACAAGCTTGACACTGTAAGCATAGTAAGTATAGAAGAACCTTTTTTGGTGGTATACATAGATCATTTTCAAAAATGTTCTATATAGAACCATATGCAACACATTTTCCATCGATCTGATGAACCATTTCACCGGGAAAAGAACCATTTAAGCGCGTATATGATTCTGTGTATGTGCGTAATACCAAAAAAGGTTCTGCTGTTGTTATGATGTCAAGCTTGTAACAGTAGAAGAACGCTTTTTTGGTGTTATATAGAACCAGTTTCAAAAAGGTGCTGTATAGAACCAAATACAACACATTCTACATCTGTTTGATGAACCATTTCACTATGTAAAGAACCATTTAAGCGTGTGTATGGTTCTGTGTATATGCTTAAGTGGTTCTATGTAGCATCAAAAAAGGTTCTGCTGTTGTTTTGATGTCAAGCTTGGTGCTATATAGAACCGTTTTCTAAAAGGTGCTATATACGACACATTCTCCATAAATCTGAGGAAACTTTCACCATATGAAGAACCATTTAAGCATGTATATAGATATGTATATATGCTTAAGTGGTTCTACATAGCACCAAAAAGGGTTCTTATATTGTTACAAGGTTGACATCACAATAACAGCAGAATCTGTTTGGGTGCTGTATAGAACCATTTTCAAAAAGGTGCTATGTAGAACCATATACAACACATTCTCCATCAGTCTGAAGAACCTTTCACCATACAGAGAACCATTTAAGCATGTATATAGTTCTGTATATATGCGTAACTGGTTCTATATAGCACCAAAAAGGGTTGCTCTATTGTTAGAAGCTTCTCATCATAACATCAGCAGAACCTCTTTGGTGCTATATAGAACCCTTTTGAAAAAGGTGCTCTATAGAACCATATACGACACATTCTCCATCAATCTGAAGAACCTTTCACCGTACAGAGAACCATTTAAGCATGTATATGGTCCTGTATATAGGCTTCAGTGGTTCTACATAGCACCAAAAAGCGTTCTTCCACTGTCACAAGCTTGACATCACAACAACAGCAGAACCTTTTTGGTGCTGTATAGAACCATTTTCAAAAAGGTGCTATATAGAACCATACACAACACATTCTCCATCAGTCTGAAGAACCATTTCACCATACAGAGAACCCTTTAAGCATGTATATAGTTGTTTATATATGCTTAAGTGTTTCTATGTAGCACCAAAAAAATGCTCTGCTGTTATATAGAACCATTTTCAAAAAGGTGCTCTATAGAACCATAAACAACACGTTCTAATCTTGAGAACGGAGATAAATAGTTTTCTCCTGAGATGATCAGACACGCTGGAGGAAATGACCGCTCGTTAGCACAGCAGTACGTGATGCAGCGGCACGGAGCCAACCTCTCTGTGGACTCCCCTTATCTGCACACTTAACAAGATTGTTCTTGAATCAATCTGAAGAACCTTATTATCATACAGAGAACCATTTAAGCGTGAAATGATTCTATATAAACTCAGAGCTATTCCCTTTATTAAAAACCATTGAAGAACCATCTCTTTTAGATGTGCAGCTAAGAGGAGTCCATGGAGAGGTCAGCTCCGTGCCGTTGCATCACGTACTGCCGTGCTAATGAGCTGTCATTTCCTTCAGCCTGATCTTTCAGAGAACCGAGATTTCAAAGGAGCAAACTACTCATCTGTGTTCTCGAGATTAACATTCGTGAACACTTACACTGGCCTGTACTAACTCACTCCGACCGACACCCTGTATACAGCGCTGAAAGGTCATCACCCCTCCTGTCTCTGGCAGGCAGTAAAGGCCAAAACAGTTTGTCCTTCCAGTGTATTTGGTGGACCTGTTGCTTCACCCACAAGTGTTTTCAGCACTTTTATTCCAGGAACACAGAAAGAAAGGTTGCCAGAGATGTTGGAACGCTTGGACAGTGACTCTGACCAGCAGTGACAGATTAAAAAAGACTTGATTCTATCACACTTAGGGACAGGTGGGGGTGTTAAAGGGGAAGTCCACCCATTTTACAAAAGCTTCTGCGTAAGTAAATAGTTAGGATGTATGGAAAAATGATGCGAACAGAGAGGTTCAGAGCGGTTCAGAGTGGTTTGGTGTGAAACGCTCTGTTCTAGACAAACTTACAGAGCCAGAATTGTTCACAGTGGTGGTGATAGGAACCAGGGGTTGGATTCATGAGAGTGTCTTAAGCAGAGCAGAAAGATGAATCATTTTTATGTTGAAATCGCAGTTTAAGGAAGTGCAAGATTCAAATCGCAAGAGCTGCAATAAGTTTTAAGAGGGACAATTTAACCAAATAACACAGAATTTGAGAACTGCCTGTAGATAAGGTAGACCAATCAGAGACAACTGAACCTCCATGTTTTGTGACATCACAACCACAACTTACTGGCAGTCTGGCTCACTACATTGAGGGGTCGAGCCTCAAGCTAGTAAAGGTCGATATTCTGGTCTTGTCAAAAAAAGGCCTGAACCTCAATTTATGGAATATAATCGCAATTTAAATCACAATATCAGTCAGAAAAATTACAATTAGATATTTTACCCAAATCGTTCAGCCTTAGTCTTAAGAAAGAAAATCTTCTAAATTAGTTTTTTCTTATCTTTATTCTGAAGACAAAAGTTATGAAAAAGTTATTCTTCCAAAAACATCTTAAGAATGATTTTTCTTTTCTTAACTATTTTCTTAAGAATTATTTGAAGAACAGATGTTATTCTTGACAATATTATGTTCTTAAACATTATGATAGCCTCACACATGTCTTGGGCTGTAAGAGTTGACAAGTTGAGCATCTAAATTCGTCACAGACGCTGCCTCTGCAGCTCCTCATCCTCGACTCTTGCTTTCCGCAGCCACTCCGTAATTATTTTATTTTCTAAGGAGGATTTTTTCCTCTTAGCTGTTTCTTCCTCCATCACCTCTAGTTCTTGGTTTGACATTTTCCCTCCATTTTGCTCCTCTGAGTGGATTAACCTAATAACGGAAATAACATTTAATATAAATTCAAAATGTATCTTGCGTCATTTATGGTACGGGGCAAAATGCAGCGTAGCCTCCATAACAAAACAATGAAGATTTTCTTAAGAAAATCTCAAGAAAATAATTAAGATTATCTTAAGAGAATATTTGTGAACTTCTGAAGTTTTTTTTAAAGAGTTGTATGTAAGAAAATTCTTATGAACCTCTTAGTGTTCGTCTTGATAACCTTTGATAACAAAGTACACTGTCATACAAAAGTTTGGAATCACTGGTTTTATTAATATGAAACCAGTTTCTTTGAAGATGCGTGCATGTGTCTAGATCTATATCTATCTGTCTATCTATCTATATATATATAATGTTAAAACCCAAAAGTTTATAGATGCCCCAAATGAATAGATATAGATGTCCAAAATATATATTATATGCAATCTCAATGATAAACAGAGCTGTAAGTGATTTAATGATAATTGCTAAATCTGTACAGCATTGAGAATTAACTTATAAAGAAACCGACACCCACAATGCTTTATGCTTTATATTTGAAAAGCAATAATCAAATCTCACTAATTTAACAGCTAATCATAGTATTTTATGACTAGAAATTCCAATAAACCGATAATGACATCTTATTATTTCATTACATTTACATATGTAGGTTTTTTAGCATGTCCTGACTTCATGTTGTTCCCAAAGTGTTTTAAACTGTGAATAAAGTGTTGGTTTAAGTTTTGGTGTCCAGTTTATAACATTTCAATCTGCACTGAATGAAGTTTACTGAATATTAATTATTAACATGACAAGTGATTCTAAACTGAGGCAGTCGACTGAGGCAAGACGTCCCCAAAGAAAGCTTATTTTCTCTGATTTAGTCTTATTTAAGCATTATAATCATAATACTAGCAAATAAAATGGCTGTATTTGCATTGTGGCACCACCACTGTGAAGAAATCAGACCTACTACGTTTCTCTACAGTGAAGTATTAAACACCAAACCTGACTTTGTTTACAGCTCAGTGATTAAACCTTGCAGAAATTTTGAAAAATCACTGAAATTCCCCTTTAAGAGTGTTACTCATCAGAGCTTTGGACTGTTTTCTCTGCTCATTTAAACAGGAAGGCAGAAGAGAGAGCAGGAGGGTTGCATCCTGTCATGCAAAGCCGTTCTCTGTTGTTATGGAACATGTAAATGTTGACGAGGAACCTTCTGCTACGCTGGTGTACCGGGTCGAGCGACAAGTGTTCGATGAGGAATACGTCAGCTCACAGCTTTTGCACACGAAGGAAAGGACACCCAAGACTATTGGGCAGAGAGTAGCTGAACAGTTCCGGTAAGGCCTCATCTTCAGTTTTGATAACAAGCATGGTCAGTTTTGTGGTTAAGCCTTTGTTTTATTACACAACACTAATTATACCGCCTTTGCACCAAGTAATTATACTTAAATTGTGTTCCATAAATATGCTTATGTGTACAGCTGTGCTGTAATTACTGTTTGTTTTTTAAAACTCTTAATAGATTGAGCTTAAACTACTTTGCAGAATCTCCATTGACGGAAGCAGCATTGTCATTTCCAGTGGTAGTGAATGTTATTTGACGTTAGTGAATTTTAGAAGAATTTCTCATGACGTCAATTGGCTTACATGTCGCGCACAATGGCCTTAAAGGAGAATTCCACCGATTTTTCAGAATTTCCGTACGCAGATGCGTTCAGAATGTTTTTGATGTGAAATTCTTGCTTCTAGAGAAACTTACCGAGTCAGAATTGTTCACAGTGGTGGTGATAGGAACCAGATGTCCACCTCTAAAAGCTCCCTCACAGAACGTTACTACATGAAATGGTTATGAATTCACTGCCTGATGTCTGAGACGCTGTTTTACGATAGGTTTGAAATAAGGGTTTGCTTGAAACATGTTTTATTTCAATCCATAAATGGTGGAGGGACACATGCAGGGTGTTGTCAGGCAAAGAAAACCTTCTTTCAAGACTTTTTTTTCGTATTTTACCATCATCAATATTTCATATAAAAGCTCAGGAGAAGTGTAGGTTCACTTTATTTTTCATAGTAAATAAAATGGCTGTATTTGGCATCGTGACCCCTGGTTCCTATCACCACCACTGTAAGTAGGTTTCTTCTCTTCACTCTGAATGACTTTGTTTAATCAAATATTGCTGAAATTTTCTAAAATCTGTGGCTTTCCCCTTTAAACTCCCTTCCCCCCTCAGCTGTTCCTCTGAAAAAGCGAAGTCAGTTGTCCTGAGCCTCCTGCCCATCCTATCATGGCTACCGTCTTATCCAGTCAAGGAGTACCTGTTTGGGGACATAGTTTCTGGTCTCAGCACAGGAGTCATGCAGCTGCCTCAAGGTTGGCTCATATACCACTGATTATAATGTTGTTCAGACTGAGACTGGTTGAATATGCATGATCACTGTTTCTGTCTGTTTCTCTCTCGTTCCCTCCAGGTCTGGCCTATGCGTTGCTTGCAGCAGTCCCTCCAGTCTATGGCCTGTACTCGTCATTCTACCCTGTTCTGCTGTACACTTTCTTCGGTACCTCCAGACATATTTCAATAGGTGAGCCTCAACAAGTTGCAGACCTCATAGTGAAACTGAGTACATGCTGGCTGTTTTAGTCTAGGGCTGCCCAATCCCGGTCCTGGGGATCTACTACCCTGGAGAGGTCAGATCCAACACACCAGGCTCTAAAGTTCAGACGTCTCTCAAGACCTCCATTACCTGGACCATGTGTGTTAGATTAGGGTTGGAGCTAAACTAGGGTGGTAGATCTCCAGGAGCAGGATTGAGCACCCCTGTTTTAGACTCTAGTGTGTTACCTTCCCAACTTAGACTCTGCAGTTCTCAGCCAGCTGATCCTTTTAAGCTTGAGAATGTGATTGACCTACATATCTCTGTGCATCTTTGCTGACCATCTTTGGCTAGAAGCCATGCAATCTGACAAGCTATCATTGCCCTTCCATAAAAGTCAGTGAGAACTTTGTCCAGAACAGAAATGACCTGTTCCAGTCAATAGCAATAGTTAAAGGGCCTGTTTCCTACGTTTTCCCCTCCTTTTGGGGTCCATTTATAATATTAGTGCGGTTTTATCTGCCAAACATGGTCAGAATTATTTTTTAAATTATCATTTTTCAACCTCTTTTTACCCTGCATACTTAGCCTATATGACTGATATATGTAAATGAGCTGTGTTTTGAATTGCTGCCCTGTATTGCATCTCAAATCTAAAACACTCCAGAGCTTCAGTGTGAGTGGGTGGGGCTAAACCACTGTCGGCTGAATAGGTATAAATATGTAAATGAGTTGTTTTTTGTGACATCACAGACACAATGAATCCAAAATGAGCTTAGTTTCCAAATATGGGCTTTAAGGAGTGGAGAGTGATCGGTATGTTTTTGAAACTTCTAAGCTGTTTACATATTATTAATTACAAATGAATCATTGTTACAATAAAGCGAGGGAAATTAGGTTTTCCTTGATATGGACCATTTAAAACATTATGCATGTGTCACATCGTATTACAGAGCTCAAAAGTAGTATTGCTTTGTTAATCAGATCAATTTCTTAATACAGTTTTGGTTCTACGGATGACCGTTCAGTATAAAACGTTTGTTTAAAGATATCAGAGGACCATAACAGGCCACAAATGGACATTTTTGGCAGAAATCAGGAATACACAATGGTGGTGATGAGATCAGTGTAATATTAAAATTAATCTTACACACATTTTGAGGTGGTTGCTGAATTTTGACTTGCCACGTATAAGTGATCTATTACATAGATGAAACCAATGCATGTCTGTGGTGGTTAGCTGGACACTTATATTAATACTTATTTTAATTTATCTCTTTAAATTTTACAACACAAGGACAAACAGTGGAGGAGTATTTTCATTCAAGGCTGTCCGATCTTCATATCTAACCTGTGAGGGTATTTCATTTCAGAATTTGCAGGGAATGTCTGACATTCCTTGCAGCAGTAGTTAAGGACCAGGACTTGAGTCATTTGTGCTCATTTATCTACGAGAGCCCTGCTTGCATTGAGAGTCCCGCTTTGTGAAGTTTGACTGTGGAGCGGAGGCTAAAGGGCTCTCTCTGTCAGCCACTACAATGAAAACTAATCAGCAGGAAAACAAACACAGCCTCCCCCCTTTTGGACTCCTGTGGACTCCAGCTTAGCTTGAATGTCAGTTTTCCACACTCCCTGCCAAAAGCAACAGTAACTGAAGTTTGCGATATCTCAGATGTGATACCTCTGTTCTGAAGTTCTGAAGAAGTTCTAGGAGCTGTCAGTGCCTGTGTCCCTGGCACAGCATTGCTCGTTTTCAAAAGTTCCTGTATGAGAGTTTTTGGTGGTTTGTGTGGGTTGTGTCTCATTTAAGAGCTAAAGTTAGGTACAACTTAAAGGGGAATTCCTCCAATTTTTCTAATTTTCATAACTCAGTTGATGAGATGTAAGCAAAGTCATTTAGTGGTTCACTGTGGTTTAGTTCAGTGGTTTAGTGTGAAACGCTCCGTTCTAGAGAAACCTGCTGAGTCAGAATTACTCACAGTGGTGGTGATAGGAACCAGGGGTTATGATGTCTGCAACAAATATAACCAGTTACTAGCAGTTAGTTACTACTCAAAACAAACAACACATGTCTTCTGAGTTTATATATGTAATTTTGGTAGTGGTCAAATAATCGCAGATCTAAATAAGTATTTTTCTACTAGATACTAATTTGCCTTGAAATGCCTCCATCCTCCATTAAAAAATATGTTCAGACCGAAACCTCGTCCAAGCTTTCGTTAAACAGTGTCTCAGGCATCAAGGATCAGACGTCTGGTTCCTATAACCACCACTGTGAACAGCTCTGACTCTGTAAGTTTCTCTAGAACAGAGCGTTTCACACCAAACCACTCTGAATGACTCTGTTTACATCTTAAACATTTAATTATGCAGAAATTTAGAAAAATGGGTGGAATTCTCCTTCAATAGAGATAGAGGCAGTCGTGGGCTGGAGGTTAGGGAACGAGCCTTGTGACCGGAAGGTCGCCGGTTTGATCCCCTAAGCCGACAGGACATGACTGAAGTGCCCTTGAGCAAGACACCTAACCCCCAACTGCTCCCCAGGTGCAGTGGATAGGGCTGCCCACCACTCCAGGCAAGTGTGCTCACTGCCCCCTAGTGTGCGTGTTCATTAGTGCATGTATGTGGGTGTTTAAATGCGGAGGTCTAATTCCCCTGTGTGTAAGCACAGTTGGTCAGTGGTTCTAAAATAAAATGAAAAATGAATAAATAAGTAGAGAACAGGCTCCTGATTCGAAAAACTGAAGGAGGCTAAAAGCGCCGCTTTCTAAAGAGACGATAAAGTCCTAAAGGGGTTAGATTTGTTGATTCAGGATATTGACCATTGGCTCCATGGCTTGTAGACAGAAGTGTTGAGCAAGAGTGCTGCTGCACCAGCCCTGCAATCCTGTTTAACGAACACTCACTCTGAACACACAGCAGGTTTATGTCAGAAAATAACTTCCCCATAGGGAAGCGCTTATCTAGATGGAGAGCTGAGATGGGATTTTTGTGACGTTAGCTAGAAGGAGTCCTCATTAAACAAGCGTGGCACGTTTTAGGAGTGACCTTCCTGGAGGACGCCACGCTGCTGCTTTGTGACTTCAGCTTATCAGTCTAGCCATCTGTCACAATGACACATCAAATCCTGTATATGGTAGACACACCTTCAGTACAGTGTCTTACTCTAAAGTCCCCGAGCCGGAACTCAGGTGACTTGGATGGTTAATTTGCTCAAGTTGTGTGCCCCAATAAGCATAATATGTGATAATGTTATCTGGGGTTAGTTTACCCTTGCGGCTAACACCCTCAGCGCACGTACTCATCAGCAGATTTGCGAGCACAGACCACAACAGGAAAGAGAGATAAATGTATGGGAAGTTAGGTGGGCGGAGTTTCGGATGTGGTCTTTCTCCCAAACTGCAACTATTTCATAACTCTCCAGTCCTGATTAACTTGTTTGTTGAGAACGTGCCACGCCTTAGCATACAAATATTACATAGGATACTGGAAAGGTGTTGAAAATATAAAATAGGATCTTTATCTAATACTGTTGGGGCGGTTAGTATGGCAAACATGATCAATACCCCAAAATGTGTGAAACAATTCACAATATACAGTGCATCTTTTTGCTATATGTACTCGCAAGTTAATGAGCAGGTTAATTCCATCTGTTATATTTGGACAAGGCTGATGTTGCTCTGGATTATGTGGTGTTTTCTGGTGTTTCAATGTTTACTGTGTGATGTATACATTAGGTTCAGTTCATATTGTTATTATATTATTAACGTTTTATAAATGCATAAGTGTGCAGTGTATTAAAACTCCTGCAAGGAACGAGGACAAGATCTGCCCTGATCGGGAGTCCTTTGCCGAGCTGAACCACTGCCCGTCCGGTCTGACCACTATGGAGCCTCCTGCGTGTCCATTTAGGGGTGGACGATGAGGCAAAAATATGAAATCATGACACTTCAAGATATTTTCATGATACACAATATACATCATGATATTAAATCTCAGAAAAACTAAATAAGTTAGAACAGACAAAATAGAAACTGTAGTGCCACATGTTAAAAATACTGTAATAATAAAGAAATGAAATATATGCCTTCTGCCCAATGACAGCTGGGATAGGCTCCAGCACCCCACCGTGACCCAGGAGGATAAGCGGTTTAGATGATGTATATATGTGTATATGTATGTATGAAATATGTGAAATGTATAAATATGATGTATCTATGAACTATAACTATAACTATATGAACAATATATATATACACAATTACAAATATATCTATGAATGATATATGCATGTGTATATACACACACAATACTATAAATACAATATATACGGTATGTTACGTACTGTTAGAGTAAGCAGTTATGTGTTCTATTCTATATACAGTAAACAGTGTTGTATGTTGTAATAATCAATCAACCTTTATTTCAACTCAGAAGTTCATTGTAGGCGAGCAAATTACAAGTGATTGAAAAAGTTGAAATGAAATCTGCCAACTAAAACAAAAGAAAATCAAGACAAATAGATTTATATAAAAAATATAATTAAAAAATAATAATAATAAAAATAACAGCTTAAATAGAAAACTGGTGTGAAATATCAATAATAATAATGAACACATTAAAGTGAAGTAAAAGAACCTTAGAAACTTAGTAAGCAATTAGAAAATTTAATTTTTAGAAAAATCGGGTTATTTTCTAGAATAGAACAGTAAAAGAATGAACATCAAATAAAACAGCTGCAAAAAATATTCAAGTAAAATAAATAAGAATCATTATAATTATTAAACTATAACTTCAGTGATTTTTTTTTCAACTTTTTACAAACTTCACTGTTCTAAATCCAAGTAAACGGGCCTAACTGTGCTCAATTAAGTAGTTGGTCAGTGTTCTATACTCTGACTATATCCATGATACGCTAAGAAAAGCACATTGTGACATAATTTATCATAATGATATTTTATTATCATATTTCCCACTCTAATTATTTACCCCACTCACCCTCCTGATGCTGCTGCTGCCTTCACAGACTCAAACTAGAGCTGTTTAGTCATAGACGATGTTTCACCTGCCTCACACACACATTCAAGAGGATAGTGGGACGCTTTTGGCCTGCCGATGGCAAAGCTGGTGGTCCACTGGCATTTTGCTCAGCGTTTTCCGGGCGTCCCACCTGGGTTTAAGCAGAGTATTACACACATTTCCACTTATCATCGCTCATTTTCCACTCAGTCCAATTTACTGATTTTTCCTTCCTTCTTTTCTTTAGTTATACTTTGTAAATTAGTTTAGTAAATAATTTTATTTTAGCTCAGTGTCGGCAACATTTTCTATAAAATCATTTTACATCAGACGTAGTCTTTTTTTCTCTCAGTTGTTTGTAATATTTGTCCAAGTTTATTTTCTAAAATAAAAGTCTCTGTGGATTTAAAATCTGTTTGAGGAGATTAAAAACTAGTTAGAGCTTGTATGCAGGACGGTAATTTGGGTGGTCCGAGGGTGGACCAGCAGTGGCAAACAGTCCGTGAGGTGCCGACCTTATCAAGTCAGTGGACCGATATATGCTCCTAGTAGTAGTCACTGAGTCTGTTTACATGCCATCAGTAGCCCGATAACTGCAAAAAATCAAGTTTTGTCAGTAATGTGATCAACACACTTACGTGCACTTGAGTAATCAGATAATGGGGAAACTCCAGGTCTACATGAGTCAGACAGTAATCGGATTTCTGCTTTGCAGCCAGCCAGTAAACTCACAGAAGAAGACGAGACGTAAACGTAACGTAAAGCTGGGGCTTTTTTTTAAACATCTCCCCACTTTACCTGAAATGGTATCCTCTGTTCATAGTGCCGTTGTGTTATTATTTTGCTATCCAATGTGGACCTGAGAATGATGGGTTCCCCTTTTGAGTTTTGGTTCCTCTCGAGGTTTCTTCCTCTTGCCGTTAGGGAGTTTTCACGCTGCTGTCACCCTTGGCGATGCTCCTTTGTGTCTTAGACCTAGATTTTCTGTAAAGCTGCTTTGTGACCGTGCCTGCTGTAAAAACCACCACATACATAAATCTTGACTTGACAATTTACGCCATCAGGGTCTAATATTATGTTGTGGGCTTTTCTTGTTGTCTTCGGGTCTCATGTCTTAAATAAGGAGATATTTATATTGTTAAATATATATTTCTATTGCTCTAATAAAATAATATTTAACAGGGAAATGCAGGTTGACAATACATTATTATTCCCTCCCCCCCACAAAGTAGTGACCAACAGAATGGCCAGCAGTCATTCGTTCCTGTTCCTGGGTAATGGCCAGCTTGTTTGCATTTGATGATAACATCATCGAAATTTGAATATTTGTTTAACAGCGTTGCCTGAGTGACATGATACAGCAGGACCAGCTACAAGCTACAGGCTTTGCCCATGAGGACTACAGAGTAATTACAGACAAAATGCTCTGCAGCTTTTATGTTTCATATTACATCAACACTGTATTGGATTATATAAATAGCAGTGTAATGTCTTGGTTTTTATCTTGCAGGTACTTTTGCAGTGATCAGTCTGATGATTGGGGGCGTTGCAGTGAGAGAAGCCCCCGACTCCATGTTTCCTCTAAATGGTACCAACGTGACCGGCCTAGTGGACATCGATGCCCGGGATGCTAGAAGAGTGCAGGTGGCCGTGGCCCTCACAACATTAGTGGGACTTATTCAGGTACAACAGGACCCAGAACACCTAGTAGCCCTAAAGCAGTTGACTGTATATATGATACACTATATGGACAAAAGTATTGGGACACCTTCACATTAGACCTACTGGAGCTTTTATGAATCCCATTCTAAATTCATAGGCATTAATATGGAGTTGGTCCCCCCTTAATATAACAGCCTCCACTCTTCTGGGAAGCTTTCTACAAGATGTTGGTGAGTGTGCGTGGGGATTTTTGCCCATTCATCCAGAAGAGCATCTGTGAGGTCAGACCCTGGTGTTGGACGAGAGGGCCTGGCTCACAATCTGCATTCTAGTTCGTCCCAGCGGTGTTTGTTGGGGTTCAGGTCAGGGCTCTGTGAGGGCCAGTCAAGTTCTTCCACACCAAACTCACTCAGCCCTGACTTTACGGACCTTGCTTTGTGCAGTGGGGCTCAGTCATGCTGGAACAGAAAAGATTCTTCCCCAAACTGTTCCCACAAAGTTGGAAGCAACCAATTGTCCAAAATTTATTGATCTGCTAAAGCATTAAGATTTCCCTTCACTGGAACTAAGGGGCTGAAAAATAACCCCATATCATCATCCCTCCTCCACCAAACTTTACAGTCAGGCAGGTAACGTTCTCCTGGCGTTCGCCAAACTCAGACTCGTCCATCAGACTGACAGATAGAGAAGTTGATTGGTCACTGTACAGAATACGTTTCCACTGCTCCAGAGTCCAGTGGCGGCGCTTTACTCCACTCCATCCGACGCTTGGTATTATGCTTGGTGATGTAAGGCTTCATGCAGCTGCTCAGCCATGGAGACCCTGCCATGAAGCTCCCAGTGCAGTTTTTGTGCTGATGTTGAAGCCAGAGGAGGTTTGAACTCTGCAGTTATTGATCAGCAGAGCGTTGGTGACTTTTATGCTCTAAGCTCCTCAGAGCTCGGAGACCCGCTCTGTAACTTTACGTGGTCTGACACTTCGTGTCTGAGTTGCTGTGGTTCCTAAACACTTCCACATTCCAATAATACCACTCAGAGCTGATCGTGGAAAATCTAGGAGGGAAGAAATTTCGCAAACTGACTTGTTGTAAAGGTGGCCTCCTATTACAGCACCACACTGGAACTCAGTGAGCTCTTTGAACGACCCATTCTTTCACTAATGTGTGTAAAGGCTGACTGCATGGCTTGGCGCTTGATTTTATACACCTGTGGCCATGAGACTGAATTAAACACCTGAATTCAATGATTAAGAGGTGTGTCCCAGTACTTTTGTCCATATAATGTATATATGAAATCTGCACTCAGTGATGGTATATATGATATATATGATGTTGGTTGGAACGTGCAGCCGCTGTTGCTCTCACTGCATGTTGGTGATGAAAATTGGAAACTGCATTCACATGATAAAAAAGTGATTTCATTGAATTTGTGAAAGTAATAAATGCATTCTGATGAGGCTTATTTTGTCAACTTGCATAACTATAACAGTGCTATGCTTTTTAAATGGGGAAAAAAATCTTTCTTTGGCGTCAAATTTGAGCAAATAATACGAATACAGTTAATCGTGATTCGATTTGTTAATAGTTTGACAGCCCCAGTTTATATTATAATGTCAAACAAATGACTTTACAGGAACATCAGCAACATCTGCAGGATAATAAGCCCTGGGAACCTTGATAGCAGCTGATTTTTTCAGCCAAATGATATACTGCTCTAATTACTAGGTCTAAAAACATATATTTTAGCCAATCAGGGCATCCAGTTGCTGGTCCAAGTGCCAGTGTTAGTGTTTTAAATGCCATGTTGTCTTGTATTTACCCTGTCAGACATGAGATCCGGTTCTAGAGCATGTATTATTTTTATGTTATTAAATAACTATAATGAAGAGGCTTTGATGGCTTTCATGTTCTTCCATTTTCAAACACAGCTGGTTTTGTCATACCTCTCTGCAGCTGTTCCTTGGTATCCTGCGGTTCGGCTTTGTGGCCATTTACCTGACCGAACCACTAGTGAGGGGCTTTACCACGGCGGCTGCGGTGCACGTGTGTGTCTCGCAGCTCAAATATTTTTTTGGGGTTAAAACCAAGCGCTTCGGCGGGCCACTGTCCGTGGTGTATGTGAGTGACCTTCTCATTCAATGACCCATGCTCTGTCTGCTGTACGTAAAACTACCTCCTGATGCTTCATGTGACCATGCTTCCCTGTGGACACAGCATTCTTTCCGTTTTCAGAACTATTCATGTTTTAGCACATGATCACAAGGCCAGGACTAAACCCAACTTGGCAGCTCTGTTTCACACAAATCCTCTGTATTTATGTCTTACAGTTTCATTTTCATTTTCCTGCTATTTTAGGCTTATAGTTGATGTTGTGTTTCCTCAATTTTGTGCAGAGTCTCATCGCTGTCTTTAAAGACATCACCAGCACTAACATCACCACTCTCATTGTGGGATTGGTGTGCACTGTGTTCCTCTACGGTGTGAAAGACATCAACGAGCGTTTCAAAAAGAAACTGCCCATCCCCATCCCTGGAGAAATCATAGTGGTAATCTCATGCTTTTAAAACTAAATTCAGCGAGCTAAAGTACTTACATTCTCTAGATGTGGCCAGTATAGGCTATTTATAACATTTAGCCACCTAAGCTCATTATTTAAAACCATTTGTCTGGGCAGTAAGTGTGTGTTTGCTTGTGAAAACATTACATATCATTATAATAAATGCAAATAAACATAAATACAGTACACGTGTCAGAAGTGGGTAGAGTAGCCTTAATCAATACTCAAGTAAAAGTATTAATACTTGGGTACAGTAATCACGTAAGTAAGAGTGCCTTGAAATAAATTGAGTAAAAGTACGAAAGTATCAGGTCAAAAAGTACTGAGTAAATTCTAGAACTGCAGCGTAGCGTCTTGAAGACTGTACAGCTCTGGTTTTCTATTTTTTGGATTATTTGGTCTAAAATAAAATGCTAAATCTATACAATCTGACATGCCACCAATCACAAAGCAGTACAGATGCTGTCAACATCAAAACAGAATGAAATTAAACACAAAAAGGGAATTAGTAACTAAATACGAATGGCTAAAAAGTAGCTGAGTAAAAATTATATTAATTTACTCGCTAATCTACTTGAGTAGAAGTAAAAGTATTATGATTTGAAAATACTCAGCCCTTGAGTAAATCGCTGTTGTCGGAAGAAAACCTTGTATCTCCATTTTTGTCGTTTTTCAGTTTTTGACATAATTTGAAAATACCTGTTGCTCTTTATATTGTGTGTGAATTTCATGATGAATGGATCAAAAGAAACGACCCAAAATGACTTAGAAAAAAGTCTGGTTCCATTGACTTACATTAAAAGTAAAGTAGGTTTTTCCCTTTTCCTGTAAAGTTACCGTTTTGGAGATACGAGGTTTTGTTCCGACAACAGCGAAATGTAACTTGTTACTACACACCTCTGACGCGTGTTTTCATGTATACAGTATACACGCCCCCAGCCATGACATGGAATTGTTAAATACAGCACCAGCACACCTGATTCATTAACATAATAAAGTACTGATTGGTCACTACTGCTTATATGATTGATATTTATTGTTGTAATTTGTATTTATTTTAATATTACCTTTTTCAGAGCAAATACATTTGTATTGCCCAGATATACAGTCATATGCAAAAGTGTAATTGTGGATTTTTTCTGCAAATTTTAGTGCAAAATCTCTATTTATTTGTTTAACATTTTTGAAAAAATGAAACATAACTTTTGCACAGGCCACATTTTATGTTTTGTCATTTTATCCAATATATTAAATTCAGCAAATAACCAGCAATTGTGCATTGAAATGTGTTCTCTTTAGAGGACGTGTTAACTTATTTCTTATTTTCACTCAGAAAATCAACATTTCACTTAGAAAATCGACTGCATAGCTTTTTAAGTACAATTTTCTGTAGAGCTGCACGCATACACTCTTAAACATCAAAGGTTCCTAAATGATTCTTGGCTTTGATGTTCTTGGAAAAACTATAATTGTTATAGATAGGTACATGGAAGTTCTTTTAAAGTTTAAAAAAGTTCCTTAAATGACAAAAAAAAACAGGCATTGTAAGATTCTTTAGGGACCAAATGTGGTTCTTCCATGGCATTGCGCTGGAGAACCCTTCTCAGCACCTGTGTTTTTAAGAGTGTATGACGTTCAGTGATGTGCCTAAAAAAATATGTTACTACCAAAAATCAGTTTGTTTTGAAATTCCCTTCAATGTTTTTAAGGTGATCGTGTCCACCGGGGTCTCGTACGGGATGTCTCTTTCTGAGAACTACCAGGTTGATATTGTGGGTCATATCCCAGCAGGGTAAGGACATGTGATGTTTACCTTACTGCTTACCTTATAATTCACTAAGTACATCTTTTAAAAATAACCGTAAGGTTCTTGTCTTCTTTTCAATCCTCTCAAGACTGCAACCCCCCACCATTCCAGATTTCTCCGTTCTTCCTAACCTGGTTGCGGATGCCGTCGCTATTGCCATTGTGGGCTTCTCGATGGGAATCTCCTTAGCCAAGATCTTTGCTCTCAAGTACGGCTACAGTGTGGATGGAAACCAGGTAATTCGTCATTTACAGTCAGTAACAGGAGGGATCTGCTGGTCGGGGAACAGTGGTGGACGAAGTACACAAACCATGTACCTGAGTTTAAGTTGAGACACCCAAGGTAAAATATTACTCCAGTAAAAGTAGAAGTTCCTCCCTTTAGACCTCCACTTGAGTAAAAGTACAAAAATATTTGCCTTCAAATGTACTTAAGTATCAAAAGTAAAAGTACTAAAAGATTAATTATGACTTTAATGTCCTATTATCATTTTATAACAAGACTCGCTTCATTAACTCAGTTTAGGTGAAAATACTCCAGTGTCTCTCTTGGTAAACCAGTCTTTTAATAGAAGGTCATTAATTAGTGACGCTGATGTCTATTAAAATTATCATAAGCACAAAACACAAATTGGCACATAATTTCCATCAGGTAGAACTGAGTGGCTCTGAAATGACTTTTTACAAATAAGCAAAGTTTCAGTTTAAGATTTATTTGAACTTAGTTACAAGTTTAAGTTTAATAAAAACTTTAAACTCAGATTCACAAATGAGTTTCCTTTACTAAACTGCATCTGTAGGTCTCTGTTCATAAACATAAACTAGCCAAAACTAATTTACTATAAAATGAAATGTGTTTGTATAAATTCAGAAAAAAGACACGTCAGTCTCAACTGCATATGTGTACATATTTCTATATTGTGGTCTGTTTACACAAAGTTAGGTTAGTTCATCATTTATGTTGAATAGACTCTCCCAAAATTTTACGCTGCTGCACTGATGTTGAACCGTGTGCTGCACTGGGTCGGTATGACCAAAAGGTCAAAACAAGCTTATAACAAAGTGACCGCTGTGCCCTGATTGGTGTTCTTACTTCACTCTTCTTTCGTTTTGCCATGTTACGTTTTTATTCACACATAAACCAAAAGGAACGACAGATTTCTCTTAATAGAGTGAAAGTAAAAAGTCTCCCAAAATGGAAAAACTTCAGTAAAGTACAGATACACGAAAAACTACTGAAGTACAGCAATGAATTACGTTTACTTCCTTACTGTCCACCACTGTCTGGGAACGTTCTCATGGGCAGAGTGATGGGTAATGTTTATAGCTTGGGTGTGATATTTCTTCTCGTAAGTGTAGATCTTATGCAATGGCAGTTTTTTTATGGCTCTGAATCTGAGCCAGTGTAATCTGATGATGTTCTGATTTGTAATGGCAGGAGTTGATTGCTCTGGGCTTATGCAACTTCGCCAGTTCCTTTTTCCAAACCTTCGCCATCACCTCCTCAATGTCTCGCAGCTTGGTGCAGGAGAGCACGGGAGGAAAGACTCAGGTAACAGTATAGCAGCGTATACACAAGACATCATCTTACTTCTCAAGGTTGGACCTATTTTATTCACTTTGCCAGTTTACATACTCGGAGGTTATGGGCGTTTTTTAGGCAGATACGACGATAAGGAGTCATTTAGATAGTGCTTGCTTTGTTTAAAGTGCCGTGTCCTGTAGTCACGGCCTCATGATGGTGGCTTAATTGCCGTTGTTAAGCCATATAGATGAGATAATGAGGCATTGCTTCTGTTATAATTCACTTACAGTTTGTCTGTCTGTGTGACCGTAGATTGCTGGATTGCTGTCCTCCCTTCTCGTTCTGCTGGTGATAGTGGCCATTGGGTTTGTATTCCAGCCCCTTCCACAGGTAGGTGACAGCTATTCATCTTTTATATGGTTTGCAGAAAACAGTAGCACATGCAGTCCTATACAGGAGTTTGAACACCTCTGATTTAATTATGTTTTATATGCAGGCCACATTATTTTCCCCAATAAATTAAGCAAATAAACAGTTAAGCAATTAAAATGTGCAGGAATGTGTTCTCTGTGGAGGATACGACAGCGTTTGTAATGCACTGCACTACAGTCTCCAGCATGCACTGCAACATAAGGTGGGCTCTGACTCTCCTACCCCAACAACAATCTATGGGACAGCGGTTACACCTCAGTTCTACACAATTCTACACCAGTCATATCACCAAACACACTAGCTGCATTTCAACTGAGGTTCAACTAACAAACACCTAACGGAGCTCAGCAGCTCAGAGCCCAAGTCTTAATGAACTTGCACCAAAGAAAAGATGCCAGGGGTCTAGTTCAAGCAAATGGGTCATTCTACAGAAACGTCCATTTTTGTGTCCTAAGTGTTTACAGATGTATTACACTTAAAAACATGTTAGGGTTACAATTTATTTATATTTTAAAATAAAACAATACGTTATTTTAGCACTTACACCTTCTTCAGCCATCAATTTAGCAAAACTACAATAATCTATACATGACTATGGAATATATAAATTAAATGACATAAACAAATGCCAAATAAATATTGTATATAATGAAAGTTGTCCCCAGGAGTTGTGTCGCTGGTGTTACTGCGTAACAATAAATCTCTTATTTTGAAATAAAAGTCACACTGATGACATCACTCGACTTCCTTTTACCTGTTTTCTGAGGATCTATGAAGAAAAGCTCATGGTGAGTCCACTGAGTCTTTCAGTTATCAGAGATTTTATCATTTAGCTCATGATTTCATATGAAGCTTTTAGCTGAAGTCACTGGTGTGACCGACTTTATTCTGAGGTCATTGTGAAAAAATGGAATATAAATGGATTAAATTCCATATTTTAGTGGATATTCCATGATTGACAACATGTGGTTTGATGCTCTGTAGCAGCCGTTTTGTAAAAAGCATTGTTCATTAAAAATGTCTCTGGTGTTCCCTTTATTATGTGGAACACCAATGACGATCAGTAACACCAGTGACTCCTATGGAGAGATAGAAAAGTGGACGTTTCTGTCGAATGACCCGAGTAGGTAGGTTTAAAAGACTGAGCTCTTGGGAACATTTACATTTTGAATATTTTAAAGTATTTGTGTAATTTTTCAAAGCTGTTTTAAGTGCCTGTATTTTACTGCAGTTTTTGCGTATGTTGAATAAACAATGGCTAGTTGGGGTTACAGCACAGCATTAAATAAAAACGTTTGTTCTCTGGCCCACAGATTTGTTGAATTTTTTAATTTGGCTCCTTTAGTGGTTGATTTTGAGACCCCTGGTTTAAAGGGTCAGTACCCAGAACACGCCCCCATGACAGAAAATATGTCAAAAATGTTGAAAAAGTCTGAATAAAAATAAATAAAACACACGTGTTAAATGTGTAGTTTTGCCAATATATAGAAAAAAATTTAACAATTTTTTAATAAAAAACAAGTGAATTATTGTAAGTAAACTATGAGCTGTAACGGGTGAAAAACGTATTTACACTAAATATTGATTAAATTGATATTGATTGAGCTAAGGGTAATGTGTATGAAGGAAATGTATATTTTTAACTACTTTCGGATGGTTTAACACACATCGGGTCAGTTTGACCCGGGAACATTATCGCTGTTCCTGACTGTTGAACATAACAGGAAGGTTGTACAAATGATCGCAGAGCAGCTTCACGGACTATTTCACATGTGTCTCCGTTTGCCAGACTGTGTTGGCTGCTATCATTATGGTGAATCTGCTGGGCATGTTCAAACAAGTGAGAGACATTCCTGCCTTATGGAGGACCAGCAAAATTGAGTTGGTGAGTTTTGTGTGTGCTGACAAATAGAGTATGCAGATCTGCAGGTATTTATAATTGATGATTTTCAAAACGATTTATTTTGTCACTTCTTAAAGCAGCCCAAGTTGTTGTCCATCATTTATCCATAGCTGTGCTTTTTGCAGCTGTCCTGAAGGTGTGAGATAGAAATAGATACCAGTGCTAATAGATACCAGTGCTTGATTTAAATCTGAGTAGCACCTTTTCTGAAGTTCAGAAACTAAATTAAGCAGCTTTAACAGGCCTGCACTGCAAAAAATGGTATCCTATCAAGTGAAATGATCTTAAATCTAGTCGATTATGTCTAATATTTCCCATTTTGAGATGGTTGTGCACTTATTATAAGATTATTTACCTTATTTCTAGACATTTATTTATTTATTTTAGGTAATTTTGTTGAGTAAAATTATCTCACTATACTGACAGATTATTTTCCTGGTTGCAAGCACATTTCTTGAAACAAGATCAGCCAATATAGTGAGAATTTTACCTAATAAAATTACATAAAACAATAGGAATAGGACTAGGAATAAGGTAAGTAATCTTAAATTAAGCTCACAACAGGAGAAATATTAGATTTATTGACTATATTTAAAATTATTTAAGATAATTTTACTTGACAAGATAGCATTTTTTGCAGTGTGATGTAAACAGTTCCTCCCCCTCATGTTTAGAATCATTGATATTGGTTGTATTTTTATCCTAAGACAATCTGGGTGGTGGCCTTTGTGGCCTCAGTGCTGCTGGGACTGGACTACGGCCTGCTAGTGGCGATCGGATTTGCCTTACTTACTGTCATCTATAGAACACAAAGGTAAGAAAAGTAGCTCTGAATAGATGCTACATGTATGTGAACCTGTTTTACATGCTGTAAAAGTGGGGCAAACAATGGCCAGAGCATGGAGAACTGGTTCATGAGTAATTACATTCTAAGCATTCATTCATTCATTGCTAGAAAATGAGCGTTGTGGTTCATAATCGCTTTAACAACAATTGCACACATTTTTTTTTAACCAACATTCCTATAGATGTAATGAGGTGAAAGTTCAAAAGTTCATATCTTATATCAGGTGAAGCAAAAGTTTCACCTGATATAAGATAGGAACTTTTATAATTGGCCACATTAAAGGCCCCATATTTCACACTTTTCTTGTATTTTATGTTTTCCCTTTAGGTCCACTTACAACCTTTGTGTGGTTTTTATGTACCAAAAACAGCATTAATTTATATGTGCATGACCATTTTACAACCACTATATATCACTTCCTTTATAAACAGGAATATATGTATATTTTCTTTGTCGGAAGAAAACCTCGTATCTCTGAAATTGTAACTTTACAGGAGAAGAAGAAACCTACTGCACTTTTAATGTAAGTCAATGGAACCAAACTTTTTTCCATGTCATTTTGGGCCGTTTCTTTTGGTCCATTCATCATGACGTTTACATACAATGTAAAGAGCAACAGGTATTTTCAAATGATGTCAAAAACTGAAAAATGACAAAAATGGAGATACAATGGAGGTTTCCTTCTGACAACAGCGATATATATATATATATATATATATATATATATATATATATATATATAGAAGGAATTTATTGTTGTGAAATGTACGTTGTTGTGTGTGAATGTGCAGAAGTATTTTAGGCTGCCTATTGTTGTCTTTCTCGTTATATGGTCATGTCTGTCACACCTGTCACTTGTCATGTATAAGCTGGGTTTATTCTTGGCATCAGTCCAGCTATAAAACTGTGACAGTCCATTGTCTTACGGGCTGGCTGGCTGTCTGGAACCTGTGCGCACAATGAATAAACTTCATTTGTCCAGACAACAGACCTAGTTCCCTGGTTCGTTGGGGTTTAGATTCTATCAATATAGATACAGTTTAGATTCTATCAATATATATATATATATATATATATATATATATATATATATATATATATATATATATATACACACACACATACACACACACACACACACACACACACACACACACACACACACACACACACAGAGCTCATGAAGGCTTGGGTCAATGGTATGTTTTGAAACTCTTTTATTAAATAAGTGAGGAAGATTAAGTTTTCCATGAAATGCGCCCTTTAACACTAATTATTTGGTAACATACTAATGCACTTGTAACTTTAGGGTGTTTAATTTCATGTTATGGTCATGTTTTGGTCATTTGATATGGTTTTGTGCGTGTTAAAGAAAATGTTTCCCTCAAAGCCGATCCTGTTTTCCAGCCCCAAAAGTGTTATTCTTGGGCAGATCTCAGACACTGGACTCTACTGTGACACTGACGAATATGAAGAGGTAATACAAAGTTCTGTGTTGGATCTTTCTTTGTTTAGCTGAAAATCATTGCAGACCTAATATACTGCAATAGCAAACCTCATTTATCTTAAACTGTGTTTATTTGCAGTTGCTGCACATCAGTTTATTTACTGTGCTGTGCAAAGGTCAGAGACCCTGTATTTATTTAATTTCCAAAGCAGCCTTGAAGTTGACGTCATTCAGTTACTAAATACACTATCAGATGTGTCAGTGTTTGGTGCGCCCATTCTTTTCAGGAGACTCACTTTCAGCTTCTCAAAGAAATCTGCAAACACACCTCCAAAGTTCAGTCTTAGAAGTTGGTTTAGCATTTTCTGCTTCTCACTATCCAAGATGGACAGAAACACCTGTGGATGTTTTCAGATCTGAAGCAGCTTGATTTTCTCCTCTCTCTCAAAGATGGAAGCTTTAAGTGCTGTTTATCTGATGGGGTCAGTTTTGGGGTCTACCAGGTCTTCCAGGTGGTTGTTAGGAGCCCCATTTTCTCTCTAGCTTTTGACCATTTTTTTCAACTCCAGTTCTTTTTCCTTAAGCGGAAAATGAATCATTTGTGCTTACTGGAAATTAAATAAATGATGGATGGTATGTGCCTTTTGCACACTACTGTATAGTTTTATGTTATTACCTGTTATTGACAGATTTACTGTAATTATCTTTCTTTGTGTTGTTGTTTTTTTTTTCTTTTATTTGTTCACCTATTCAGGCTGCTGAATGTTCAGGGATTAAGATTTTCCACTCAAATTCTTCAATCTACTTTGCAAATAGTGACCTGTATGTGAACAGCCTCAAGGAGAAAGTAAGTATGCAAATCATTCCCATCACTATTTAAAATTATTTAAATGAATGCAAATGTATTATACACCGATCAGGCATAACATTGTGAGCAGCACTGCTGTGTCTGATCCACTCAGACAAGCACAACACACACTAACACACCACCACCACGTCAGTGTTACTGCAGTGCTGAGAATGATCCACCACACAAATAGTACCTGCTCTGTTAGGGTCCAGGGGTTCTTGACCACTGAAGAACAGGGTAAAAGTGGGCTAACAAAGTATCAGAGAAACAGATGGACTACAGTCTGTAACTGTAGAACTACAAAGTGCACCTATATAGTAAGTGGAGCTGATAAAATGGACAATGAGCATAGAAACAAGGAGGTGGTCATAATGTTATGCCTGATAGATGTATGGGTTCTCTTTGTGCTCCACTGTGCTGAAGTTATTGCAAAGTGTAGTAACAAAATAACTACAAATTATGAAGTATATTGCAGAAAGCACCAAGAAAACTAGTAGCATAAACAGTGTGACCACAGTAGGGACAAACATTTTAGTAGATGTTAGTGACTTTGAGGTCAGATGTGTTTGCTCTTATTCTCAGTGGTCTGACTTCTGTAATTACAGACAGGCGTTGATCCAACACAACTGCTGGCTGAGAGAAAGTCTCAACAGAAGCGTGCGAAAACAAAGAGTGGAGAGAAGAAAGACTCGAGTCACAGTCCTGCGCAGAAGAAGAATGCAGTTGCCAAACTGGTATGAACGTTTTCTTGTATACGTTACTCCTATGGCCTTAACTACCTACAAGGACACTGAGGTCCAGACCTCTGTAGTTTCAGAAGGTTTTTGTTTTTCCATGTATCTCCATTTATGGGACTTAATGGCGCTGATTTGGCCTCAGGGGCTCAGCAATGAGAATAACAGATCTACCCAGTTAAATAAAGAATACTTATTAAGCTGCATTATTTTTTTAAATAATGAAATTTAATTTTTAAAGTTTTATTTTATTATATATATTTTTAAAGTTAAAGTTTTTAGTGAGCACTGTCGCTGTATTATGACCAGTCAGAATCATTGCCCCCTTTTGCCAAGTTCTGCCTTATTTTCCTCAGCCTTCCAATCACTGCTTAGCAACCGTTGCTATCCGTCATTGCCTCAAGCCTTCAGTTCCTTCATGTCTGTAGCAAAACACAAAGTTTCTTGGTAGTTTCAAGGGGATTTCATGAGATTCAGTGTGGACACAGCGATGAGACTGCCCAATCAGCAGTGACAGGTTCTCAGCTGACATGAAAACAACTCTGATTTGGCCATAGATTTAACTGCCCGCTCTGTTTATCTCTTGTACACAATGCTATGCTTCGCAGAGATGTACAGGTATGCATTATACACACTATACATAAGATATAAGATACTATAAGATAAAATACAGCATACCTATGATACAAATGTGAGCGTTTATGAAGATAATAAACAGACTATGCTTGTAAAATGCAAAACTTATTATTTGTTTATTATTTGGATGACTCATGATGTTGCTAGCTAAATCAGCATGCTTTAGCCTATTTTTAGTCGTTGTCAATATTAATAATTAAATGAGAAATTAAAGTTTTTTGTGTTCTACTCATAACAACAAGCATGAGATAGTTAACTAGCATGTTGATGGCAAAATATCATGTAAGAATTAAGAAATTACCAGGTAAATTTGGCTGTATTTTGCCTCATTAACTGTATGAGTCGCCTGCCTTACGGTTAACTGGGGTGTGGTAGAGAAAGACTTTTATAACATATGTTTAATGTATGCTTTTTTTTTAGTAATCAGTGAGATGCAAGAGAGAAAAAGAGACAAGCAGAGTGGGAGGTAAATGTGATTTAAATCAGTGTAAAACTGATTTAGCTAAATGACTTATTAAATAAAGTAAAACAGAGTAGCTGGAGTCAAATCAGGTAATGTAACAGTAATAGCAGTTTGTGGAAGAATGTAGGGATGGAAAAGGAACAAACAAAAGGAGAACGTGCATAATTTCATGAATCTAAATCCTAGTTATGGCCCTTTGCTCCTGAATACGTGGAGGCTGAGGGGGAATAGACTGTGCTGAGGGTTGGGAGCTCACGTGTTAGAGCTGCATGTTTTATCAAGTATCAACACTACACTGTACTGGATACAGTTACAGCTATGTGGAAAATCTCCCTAGTCACTCACTGTCAGGCGTCCGCGTGTGGTACAGGCTGTGATGTAGAGCTTGGAGTTAACTCATGATTCATTATCTTCATATGAAACCTGTGATTTAACTACCTCTGACAAATTGCCCTGCCTTTGTTGACAGGACGTGGAGCTAGGTGTGGCTCATGAAGTGCTGGACGAGGCTCAGAAGCAGGTGGACGCGCTCAGTAATGGCCAAGTGGCTGAGGCCCAGGCCGAATCGGACTCTGAGGAGGCTCGCTTCCTTCAGCCCCTGTGCCCTGTCCATTCCATCATACTGGACTTTACTCCTGTGAACTTCATGGACTCTGTAGGGGCCAAGGCTATTAAAGCCGTAAGCAAACACTTTCAGCACACATTTCGTAAACACAGATCCATTTGGAACCATTTTAAGGGATAATGCCAGTATTTTTTCATTTTAATGACCTGCTGCCTCATTTCACTGGAAAATGGCCTGCTGTCAGCCACACTGGTTGCTTCTTTCAGTGTCTGAGGGTGTATTAGGTTTTTGGTAAATAACCGAGGCTGGACCAGAAGATTAGCAACAAAAAAAAAAAACCCTCCAAGTTGGTGCGGTTAGCAAAGTAGCTGACTTGCCAACCATACACAGTGAACATAATTATTTATTTGCAATAGTACTGTGCTGCACACTGTTCTGTAGCAAAAAGGTGTAGACAGCTTGTTAGCAATGGTGTAGTTACTTGTGTGCGGTTACAGTTAGCCAACAAGCTAACATTGCAGTTATCAAGCTGGCTAACTTGTCTATACAGTAAAAAACACAAAAGTGTACTTAATTATATCAGATTACTATTTTCTCTCCACAGCACAGTGCAGCACACTGACCTGTAGCAGAAAAAGGTGTAGATAACTGGTCAGCGAAGATGCAGTTAAGTGTGTGCGGTTGCAGTTAGCCGACAAGCTAACATTTAGCAAGCTGGCTAACTTGTCTATACAGTTAAAAACACAAAAGCAAACATAATAATATCAGATAACGATTCTCTCACTACAGCAAAGTGCTGCACACTGATGTGTAGCAGAAAAATGTGTAGATCACTGATGTTGTTGGCATCAGTGGGGTGTCTTGTGTGCCGCTGTGGTTAGCAAACGATCTTACAAAAGTAATGATAATAATACAGTCTCTTGACTGACTGTGTGTGAAGCAGTAAACACAGATCCATTTAGAACTAGTTTAAAGGGTAATGCCAGTATTTTTTCATTTTAATGGCCTGCTGCCTCATTTCACTGGAAAATGGCCTGCTGTCGGCCACACTGGATGCTTCTTTCAGTGTCTGAGGGTGTATTAAGTTCTTTGTAAATAACCGAGGCTGGACCAGAAGATTAGCAACAAAAAAAACCCTCCATGTTGGTGCAGTTAGCAAAGTAGCTGACTCGCCAGCCATAAACAGTGAACATGAATATAAACTCTCAGTAGTAAAGTGCTGCACACTGATGTGTAGCAGAAAAGGTGTAGATAGCTGGTTAGCAATGGTGCTGTCACTTGTGTGCAGTTACAGTTAGCCAACAAGCTAACATTTAGCAAGCTGGCTAACTTGTCTATACAGTTAAAAACACAAAAGCGAACATAATAATATCAGATAACGATTCTCTCACTACAGCAAAGTGCTGCACACTGATCTGTAGCAGGAAAATGTGCAGATCACTGATGTTGTTGGCATCAGTGGGGTGTCTTGTGTGCCGCTGTGGTTAGCAAACAAGCTAACATGGCAGTTAGCAAGCTGGCTAACTTATCTATTCCAAACAATGAAACCACAATAGTAAAGATAATAATACAGTCTCCTGACTGACTGCGTGTGAAGCAGTTTCTTGTTTATTTATAGCCAGTAGGTATTAAATATTTAAAGGTTTGTGGATTTTGTAAGTAACATTAGCATTTCGTTTTGGAGGTTCAGTGCTTGTCTATAACACCCACTGCTGTAGAGGTCAGCCTGGCCAAAGCAGCACTATTGATCAAATAATTCATATGGCAAAGTTCTCCAAAGCTGGACGTTTGGGACACGAAATTCCTCATTATGGCACTGTCCTTTGAAATTAATGCAGTTTTGCTCATGAAATTTCACTAGCAAATACTACTGCAACCAGTACAGTAAGCTAACTAGTGTACCTCTTGACCATGGTGTTGAGCCAAGGACCCAAAGTGAAAAACTACATCACTTTAGACCAGGGGTGTCAAACTCAACCACTAAAAGGGACATATTAACATCTCAGCGAATTCATGGGCCAGCTGTGTTTATCTCATTTTTACTTAGCATTTTGCTGTGAGCCGAACGGGCCATTGTTTATTCAAGTCAAGTCAAGTCAAAGTTTATTTACATAGCGCTTTTTACTACTGTCACAAAGCAGTTCAGCCCCCATGAGCGTCGCCAATGGCGACAATGGCAAGGAAAAACTTCCTAAGAGCAACAGGAAGAAAACTTGAGAGGAACCAAGACTCAAAACGGCAACCTGTGCTCCTCTGGGCGACACCGGATAGCAAACAACATTAGTATAAAATATTAGAATACAAAACGGGAAAAACAGGTGGAGCAACAGTCAATTAGATAGTTTGAGTTTATGCAGCAGCAGCAGGAGGGTCAGTTCATGCAGGTGAGGTGCAGATCAGCCAACAGAGATGGAGCTCTGGTGACTCTAGCAGCTCTGGAGGCTCACATGTGGCGCCTCAGGCAGACGTCGCTCAGGGGCTCAAATAAAGGGAGGGAGAGAGACAGAGAGAAAGAGCGAGAGAGAGAGAGAGAGAAATTGATTAACAGGACAGGTCTGTTCATGGAGTGATATTAGTGAGTTAATAGTGCAACAACTGATATTAGCAAAATGCTCGTGCAGACAGAAACGTTTTGAGTCTAGTTTTAAATGTATTCAAAACATGCCAAAACTGCAACAGCAAAATAGGCTTTGAATACTTATTCAAAAATAATTCTAAATAAAATAAATTGTGTTCAGTAGTGTTTCTAAAACTATCTGCTTGAATATCAGGCATCTTTTCTTTTTGTGTAACAGCTGGCCCAGAGATTGTTGTTGGGGGAAGAGGGTCAGAACGCACACTCTGTTGCAGTGCATGCTGGGGACTGTAGTGCATCTCAGGGTGAAATGGGCTAATAAGAATAGAAAATTAAAATAATTTTGTGGGCCGAGCTGAACTGTGTCACGGGCGTGACCTGGCCCGCGGGCCTTGTGTTTGATACATGGGCCTTAGACCGCACATGTCAAGCTCCAGTCCACGTGGGCCAAAACTCTGCCTCATCAAACACACCTGATGCAGCTAATTAGCATTGAACTGAATTCGGAGTGTTAGATGAAGGTAAACGCTGATCTCTGCAGCACTTTGACCCATAAGGTCCCCACTTTGACATGCCTGACTTAGACAGTAGTCAGTGGTATACCTCTTACAGCGCTGCAGAACTTGGCAGGGGCCTCAGGGGGCTGAGGAGGCTGAGTGGCAGGATTCAACACTGCCACAGTCCACTAGGGCTAAAGACAGCGATTTTATCTGAGCTGTGGGTGCTTGCGCCACCTGCTGATAACTTTGCATTAGATCAAGAGTAAACACAAATTGAACCTTGCTGTGTCGGTCAGCTGAGGTAATTGACCGACCTTTCTTTAGTGAGCCTACAAAAGTCGTTTGAGAAATCGCAGCTGTTATCAAGCATGGCAGCATAAAAAAGCAGCCTCCTGTGGTTGTAAATATCACAAGGCAATATCTTTGTTGTGTGCACCATCAGCACATCGTCTCAGCTTGTTTATAGCACATCAGGAAATGTGGTCAGACCACAGAGAAAGCTGCTTTCTCGCTAAAAACTTGTTATTGGCCTAACAAATCACATTTTAATAGGCCTTAAATTGCTGTAAAAAAGGGCTGAACCGTTTAACAAAGTCCAGTCCACTGAAGCTAACAGTTCAATCTAGCTTATAGGATATTTTAATTTAACCATAGGCTGTTGGTGAAGCACTAGTTTAATGTAGCCGTAAGGTTGTGGTGAAGGAGCGTCTTCCGAGGATGTGAGTGAATTATCTGCTATTGCCAACACATCTTCATCGGTAAAATGTTGATTTTCACATCATTTGAGACCTAAACATAAAGCCGGGGCTTCTTTTTAAAGTCTGTGCGTGTGATGTTAATACGTAAAGGATTTTTTACCATATTTTAGCATCTTTTTTTTCCCCTTCCTTACACAGTAAAGCTACTTCTTTCAATTTGAACAGAAAAAAACGTACACAGTGCCACTTAAAGTACTTTTGAGCGCAGTATAAAATCCTTGGTGAATCCAGTTTGTGAGTTGGTAGCTTTTTAAAACCTATGGAAACGTGCAGGTGCACCTATACATAAAGCAGGTCTTAGTTTAGGTTTATGCAGTAGACGTTTGGTTTTATTTCTTTTTGTTGGCGCCATTCTCCCTAGATAAGCTCCAACCCTGGATTGTGTAGATACTGAACAGAGAACTTGATATGCTTGTTAAAATTTAACTGTCTGTTTTGCATAATGTTGCAAGTCTCTCGTGTCTTTGGTCTCCGTCTCCTTCCACAACACCTTATACACCCCCAAACTCAGACCCTTGGCTGAGGGTCTTAACATATGGGGGCTCATCCGGTATTACTTTCGCTGTCTCGTCAACGTCGTCACAACCTCCTAGAAAGTTGTCAGACAACGTTCATAAGTTTCTGAGGAATTACATCTCAACGTTGTGACAATGTAAAGAGCACCAAGCAGACGACGCTTTGGGCACCAAAACAGTTCGTTGTCACAGTGTAACTGTTTGCAGGGCCGTTAGGAATAAAACCTGATGGTTTTGCTTCCTAACGGGAATTGGCTTGATGGTTGCCGTTAGAGGCCATTAGGAGATGATCAAATGTGTGGAATCAGTCAAAACACCTGATTAAATGATTAGAATCCTTTACACTGTGATATCAACCCATCAGGAAAACACAGAATACCATTAGCCACTACTGAAAACCACCAGGAACCAACAGACACTTTTAATGGGTTCTATGATTTTTTTTCTAGCTCTCTAGCTGAGTTATGGACGACAAATGGATTAAGTAATGGATACACTAAGCAGGGGCGGCACGGTGGCGCAGTGGGTAGCGCTGTCGCCTCACAGCAAGAATGGCCTGGGTTCAATTCCCGGCCGGGCGACCAGGGTCATTTCTGTGTGGAGTTTGCATGTTCTCCCCGGGTCTGCGTGGGTTTCCTCCGGGTACTCCGGTTTCCTCCCACAGTCCAAAGACATGCAGTCAGGCCGATTGGACGTGCTAAAATTGCCCCTAGGTGTGAGTGTGTGTATGAATGTGTATGTCTGTCTGCCCTGCGATGGACTGGCGACCTGTCCAGGGTGTATCCTGCCTTCCGCCCAATGACAGCTGGGATAGGCTCCAGCACCCCACCGCGACCCAGAAGGATAAGCGGTTTAGATGATGTATGTATGTATGTATGTATGTATGACACTAAGCAGCAGCAGCCAAAAGTTACCGTGCCATTAAGCCACGTCTGCCATTGTGGCAGAGAATGCATGTGCACGTGACGTCACTGAGGCTGAGAGTGCATCTGTCTGGGAGTGCACGTCTGCAGCCAGACTCTATTGGGCTTGGCTGGCGTGGAAGAGTAGATGTTGGATGGGGTGATTTGATGCTTTGTAGATACAGCAGTATGGCATCGTTTGATTTGCATCAGTTTTTAAATAGCTGTGGTTTTGAACAGCTAGAATTATGTAGGAAGAATGAGTTACTGACAATAACTGCTCACTTCAGTGTGCCTGTAATGAGGCAGTTGGTAAAGAAAGACATTGAAAAATAATAGCAAGTAGTTTGGTGGAACTCTGAGTTACTTCCGCAACTGGAAGAGCTCTGCCCTGAAAGTGGTTTCCCAATATCTTTTGGGATGACCACCTGACTGAAGAGGAGAACCAGCTCTCAGTAGCCTTGTGTGTTGCTTTGCTGATATTGGGATGGTGAGTCAGATGGTGGTTTTAGAAATGACCATCAGTCCTGGAGCAACATTGATAGGCTATTTTTTAACCTGTTCTCAAACCCAGCTGTCTACTGACTGTAATTACTTTGAGTGGTCCATTTCTTTTCTAGACAATGATGGCGTATCAGTATCCGGCTGATATTCTGGATGGGATATGGGAGTCAATAAAACAATGAATATGATTCAGTCCGGAAACAGCACTCACCCACACTGTGTAATGTGATGTGATGATGTTAGCTTTGTAGTTCTTCCTGTGGGGATACTAGAGTGACTGTGCAGTTTCAGCATCTTAGACTACTTTTAAGTGAAGCATAGAGGTTTTTAAAGCTGGTAGTTTATAAAAATAAGGAAAAATATCATATCTGTATAGTCAAGACTGTAATGTTAGTCACAGAAAAGAAAAAACAGTACTGTGCCATCTCCAGCTCTAGACAAATACAGTTAAGATTCTGTCTGTTGTGATTGAAACTGTCTTTATTGCAGGTTATTAAGGAGTGTGTGACTACTGATGTCAGTTGTCCTTGCTGGTTCTAGCAGTGACCATCAGTCCTGGAGCAACATTGATAGGCCAATTTTTAACCTGTTCTCAAACCCAGCTGTCTGCTGACTGTAATTACTTTGAGTGGTCCATTTCTTTTCTAGACAATGATGGCGTATCAGTATCAGGCTGATATTCTGGATGGGATATGGGAGTCAATAAAAGAATGAATATGATTCAGTCCTGAAACAGCACTCACCCACACTGTGTAATGTGATGTTGATGTTGTGAGGATAATATAGTGAGTGTGCAGTTTCAGCATCTTACACTACTTTTAAGAGAAGAATAGTAGTTTTTGAAGCATAGTAGTTTATAAAAAAAGGAAAAATATCATATCTGTATACTCAGGATTGCAGTGTTAGTATCAGAAAAGAGAAACCGGTACTGTGCCATCTCCAGCTCTGGACAAATACAGTTAAATTTCTGTCTGCTGTGACTGAAACTCTGAAACTCTGTCTTTATTGCAGATTATTAAGGAGTACGCGACCATCAATGTCAGAGTTGTCCTTGCTGGTTGTAACAGTGAGTGTTAAACTTTTCTTGGAATTTAATTGTAAATTATCTGCACACACCCATATATGCATCTCAGCAATGTTAAAGTCATATTTAAATTTCCTCAAAGGGGAATTCCACTGACTTTTCAAAATTTCTACCCAATTCAGTTGCTGGAATGGTTTTGACTAGGATTTCTTTACAGTGGTGATGACAGGAAACAGTGAATTTACACATGTCTAATAAATGTTTATATGTAATGTTGGTGATGGTAAAATACAGTAAGTTTTCCTTGGGAAACTATGCATATATTTTTCGCAATGAATGGATTAAAAAAATAAAGACTCACCGCTTCATTAGAAGTCCACCTCCTTGTTTTTACACTCATTGTCCATTTTATCAGCTCCACTGACCATATAGGAGCACTTTGTACTTCTACAATTACAGACTGTAGTCCATCTGTTGGCCGTCATAGGCCGGTTGGTATATAATATGGGCCAAAATCTTCCTAAAGACAACAGTGTCTCAGGCATCAGGCATTCATTAGGTATTCATAACCATTTCGTGTAATAACTTTATGGGAGGGAGATTTTAGAGGTGGACGTCTGGTTCCTATCACCACCACTGTGAACAATTCTGACTCAGTAAGTTTCTCTAGAACAGAGCAATGACTTTGTTTACATCTTAACAATTGAGTTGTTCAGAAATTTAGAAAAATAGGTGGAATTTCCCTGCAAGAATTGCTTATAATGAGTAAAAGCTGGTTGGTGCCAGTTACCATTATACAAAGCTATGGATATAAAGAGCACTGAAAGAGCTCTCCGCTAATTCTGTATATTGTCTTGGACAGGAACCCTGCTGTCTGACCTCAGGACTCTGCAGTTCTTCAGCGAGCCTGTGACTCCTGACATCATCTTTCCCACCATTCATGATGCTGTACTGCACTGCAAGCACAGGGGGGGTTGCCGTTCCTGCCCCGCTGTCGAATGAGTGCACAGGATACACCAGGACTGACAGTGTGGCTAGAGTATGTAGTGCAGGGCAAGTTTTAGTTCTACTGTGACATGCATTGAAAATGGTGCCCTGCTTTATTCACAGGATTTAAAACTGTGGCCAAAAAGAAAAACCATGAGACCTTAAGGAACAGTTTGGGGAAGAAACCTACACAATTTTCCACTTATGGCTACAATGGCATTTTAGGGCCACTGTTAATAAAAATAAAAATAGTAGACTTCGAGAATAAAGTCGAGTAATATTTCAAGAATAAAGTCATAATATTTTGAGAAAAAAAGTCGGACTATTTTGAAAAAAAAGGCGTCATATTTAGAGAAAAAAAAGTCATAATATTTGGGGATAAAGTGGGCTAACTGTAGGGGGGCTGCCATAACATGTTGGGGGTCTCGGTTGCTGTACTGGCGCCGGAGCTCCACTCACTCCTGTCTCTCTGTGGATCATTTTGATCATCATTCTCACTGTCTGTGAAACTTCATGCCCTCTTTGAATGGGGGGAGATGGAGCCCCGATAGCCATGTAGACGACCCTGCCTGAGATTCTCCTTCAACAACACAGACAGACAGTTTCCTCCGAGTCCGTCTGGCTCTTTATTCTAGATAAACACAGTTTCCTGCTCAGCCGTTTCAGCCGGTTCTTATCCTAATAACAGACTGGTGCTGATGTGCAGGAGAGACAGGGAGACTGAGTGTTTCTTTATGGGTGAATCGATATGAAAGTAGAACTCCACCAACTCACCGCCCCTCATTTAACACCAGGAGGGGCTGCCTTCCCTTGCAAAGACTTTGGCCACAACATTGCGACCTTCCTGGCATTAATGCCACTTTAATGTTGTAATTCTACGAATTTATTCTCGAAATAGTACGACTTTTTTCTCGAAGTCTACTATTTTTATTTTTGTTAACAGTGGCCCTAAAACGCCGTTGTATACGCCAGATGTAGTTGATAAGCTAAGAAATGTTTAAGTCCAAATTTTGCCTTATTAATTTAGAACTGTTGTTGTGGAGCTAATGTTGCTAACTACTACTAGAAGTCAGTAGTCACCCAAATAGCCCAAATAGTTTCTGTAAAGATGTATCGCTAAGACTTCTCTCAGTCCCCTCAACCTACATCCAGGTTTTTATTAAGGTCGCACAGACTAGTTGATTTGTTTTAGGACACAGTATGACTTACTGTGAGCTATGAAAAAATAATAACTTACTTTAATAGCAGTTTCAGACAACAGCTAGTGCTCACCAAGCAGGACTGATCTTGGATCAGATTCCTCGGTCCCACTTTATATTAAGTGTCTCTAACAACTGTGTAGTTACATGTGAACAACATATGCAACAACAATGTAACTAATGATTTAGTCACTGTTACAGATGGATTACAGACATACACCTTATGTAATTACACATGTATAAACTTCAGTTTTGCCTCATGTAATTACATGAGTTGTAACAGCCTATTCTCTCATGTAATTACACAAGGGTAATAACAAACATTTGTACATCAGACTGGAACAGCATTTTTTTCCAGCAGTAAAATTAAGTATGTAATAACTTACATTAAGACATTATTTACACTGTATCTGCCAGCTTTCCTAACATTTAGCTAGTGTTTATGTTGCTAGTGCTGAGACACTGTAACCAGTTTCAGCTTTGAACCATTCTGTAATGTGACAGAACAGCAGACGACCCCTTATATTAACATTTAATGACATTAATTAAATGTGTTGCATTTCCCCCAAAGCAACATCTATTTTATCACTCCATTATTACACAGTACCTACATAACAACTACACAGGAACTGTCCACTTATTTTACAGTGTTATTATACAAGAAAGTTCCTGTGTAGTTATGTTATGTAGGTACAGTGTAATAACAGAATGGCATTAATCAGTGTGACGTAATTAGGTCACCTTGTTATAACACAGTTATTCCAGTTATGTAATGTTATGTAAAACATTCTTCCTTTAACTGCTAGAAAAGACTGCTGATCTTAGTGTATCAATAAGATACGCTTGAGTAACTACATGAGGCAAAACTGAAGTTGATACACATGTAATTACACATGTAATTACACAGGCTGCACTTCTGTAATCCATCGGTAACATCGGCTAAATCATCAGTAGTTACAATGCTGTTGCATATGTTATTCATGTGTAACTACACAGTTATTAGAGACACAATATAAAGCGGGACCGATTCCTCTATTTATGATGGTCATTGTCATGAACACTGATTCTAGATCAGCACTTCGACTCCTGAGGTGAATACAGACCCTGTTGTCTAAAGTTTCTGCCTGTTCATTTTTATAATTGGCAGTAAGTCTTACTGTGACCAAGTTAACCAGTCTCACCACCTTACTATCCACCTGGATTGGGTGACTATTGAGTCCTAGTGTTTGTTACCAACATTAGCCTCGCAGCTCCAGTTCTAAACTAAAGAAGCAAAATTGTGACTCCAAACATGTCTTGGCTGATCAGCTACATCTGGGCTAAGTGGAAAACTGGGCATTTTTTTTTTTCACTCAAAATATTCCCTTAAGGAACGTCATAATTTGCATAAAGAAGACAAAATAAAGTGGGGTCCAAATGTCTGAGATTGCAAAACTGAATTAATTTAAACATGAAAAACAACAGGAAGTTTTATAAAAACAAAGTTATTACAAGCAAACAGAAGAAGCATTCAAGATTCTGCACTATTTATAAGCCACTATTCAAATTTATTTTTGGGAAATTTAGTTCAGATGACTCTCAGGAGGATTTGATGTACTGATCAGAGGCTTTTGCACACCCTATCATTAAAGCAAAAGGGGGACATGTCACCAAAACTGAGAAATTTTGAAATTCATGCTAAAATCTCTACTTTTTATGTAAATTATTATGCTGATAATATTATTTCTGTTGAATTAGAACGGAATGCATATAGAAGCACTTTGACTAGCGGTCTCAGACTTTTGTACCCCACTGTAGATATTTTTAATTATATTTATTTAATCAGTGTTATTTCTGTCAAACACATAAATGAATAGTCTAATTATTGTGTAACAGACTGATACAGTCAGAAACCTTGTGCTTCTCGAGCAAACTGTTCCAAGCCTCTTAGAACCTTCGATCGATGGACTACAAGGACTTCTGGCTGTAGTTTTTACTGCCTCGAAGCTCTTGTGGATCCAAGTCTCTCACCACGTTCAACAGGCTAGAACATAATAGAACAGGTTCTGGTCTGTCCCTTTCAGGTACGCTGCAGTGACCATGCTGTAACACTGAGACACTGACGAGGCTGCGCAAGTGTGGATGAGAGATTACATCGTATTTATTGATTACCGTAGAATTCCTCAGCACTTTTGTACTGGTTACATTCTTGGTCTCCGCCAAAATGTTGTACTAATGTTTAGCATAGAGGTTCATGAAGTGCAATTAATTGGAGCAGAGTTTCTCTGTGGAACGTGGATCAGAAAGCACCGGCAAACATCTGATTTAGATTATTTAAAATATTTTAAATGTAATTTGGAATTGCTGCCAAAACTAATGTTACTGGATTTTTAGCTGACTGGTCCTTTCCCACCAAGGTCAAGTGTCCATCATGAATATAAAGACTGTTACACTGTTATAGATGTAATATTAATGTTTGTATTGAAGATGCTTCACATTTCAATCAGCCAACATTAAAACCACCTCCTTGTATCTACACTCATTGTCCACTCTTCATCATCAGCTTCACTGACCACGTAGTCTCACTCTGTAGTTCTACAGTTACAGACTGTAGTCCATCTGTTTCTCTGCATACTTTATTACCCTGTTCTTCAGTGGTCAGGACCCCCATGAACCCCCACAGAACAGGTACTATTTGGGTGGTGGGTCATTCTCAGCACTGCAGTAACACTGACGTGGTGGTGGTGTGTTAGTGTGTGTTGTGCTGGTCTGAGTGGATCAGACACAGCAGTGCTGCTGGAGTTTTTAAACACTGTGTCCACTCACTGTCCACTCTATTAGACCGCCCACCGGTCCACCTTGTAGATGTAAAGTCAGAGACGATAGCTCATCTGCTGCTGCACAGTTTGTGTCGGTCATCCTCTAGTCCTTCATCAGTGGTCACAGGACGCTGCCCACAGGACGCTGTTGGCTGGATATTTTTGGTTCTCAGTTCAGCGGCGACACTGAGGTGTTTTAAAAACACTGCTGAGTCTGATCCACTCGCACCAGCACAACACACACTAACACACCACCACGCCAGCGTCACTGCAGTGCTGGGAATGTCCCACCACCCAAATAATACCTGCTCTGTGGGGGTCCTGACCACTGAAGAACAGTGTACCAACGTATGCAGAGAAACAGATGGACTACAGTCTGTAACTAGAACTACAGTGCGCTCCTATACGGTCAGTGGAGCTGATAAAATGGACACTGAGTGTAGAAACAAGATGGTTTTCGCATGATGGCTGATTGGTGTACGTTATTTGGCTTCTGCCATCGTTGCAGCTGCTTCAACACGTTTTTAACAGTGATTATAGCTCAAGACAGCCAATTTCTGTCTACATGTTTTATGATAATAAGGTCACACCAGTCTGAAGCCCCCTCCCCTCCTGTACTGGCAGCTCTTGTTCTTTATTTGGATGACTCTAATTTGGTACTACAGTCCAAATGCTGATGAATGGTGACACAAAAGTAGCTGTAAATGTTGGCAGTCTATGATATTTATATATAGAGAGCTCATTAGAAGTGTTTATTTAGCAAATGCTGTTATGTGTGAGGACTATCTCAGGCTGAATGACTTCAAGTTGTAGTAATACTAACATTCTTATCTGGAGGACTCAGTGTTACCAACAGAACGCCAGACTTGACTGATTTCTGGTGAACAGCAGGCGTGGCTCCTGTCAAACTGAGAGAAATATCACAGTGAAGAACAAAAAGAAACTGCAAGAAATATGGAATCAACAATAATCTTTTAACTGTCATTCATTGTTTGTTTGAGAGCACTTCGTCCTGAAGAGTTCAAGTGTCTCCTGCCTATAAATCAAGACCAAAGCCCTGAAAGCAGCGGCAGTTATTTTGTGAATTTTAGAGGTATTTTGTATAATAAAAACATTTAAATGATTGTTTTTGTCTTTTTTTCATTTCCAGGCCGGCATTTCTGGCCTTAAAGGGGAATTAC